GTCGGTATTGATTTAAGAAAGAGAAAAATATGGGATGCATTTCAAGAAAAAGGAGCAAATTTAAAAGGTTTGCTTTGTATATTATTATTAATACTATTATTATAATAATAAGCATAATTGAAACTGTTTTTTAGTCGAAACCTTGCAACCGAATTTAGTTACTTATCCTAATGTCGATTGGTTGATCGGAAACCACGCAGACCAACTTGTTCCCTGGTAATTGATTGGCATGCCACTTTCAGATACCACCACTTAATGCTGTATAAATAAAATATTGAAATCTTATTTATGTATAGGATTCCCATTATTGCTGCAAAATCATCAGAAAACACAAAGTATATCCATAAACTTGTTATCCTTATCATAACATTACCAATTTTCTAACGTTTTATATCTCTCGGGTTCCAATAGGTTTATGGTAATTCCATGTTGTTTCTATGCATTATCTGGTTTGAAATACAATTTTGAAAAAAAAGTGATATGTGAAGGAAAATATAAGGCATATCTAGAATATATCCAGGAAATTACTGAAAAGTGTGGATTCATTACAGAATATGATTGGTTGAGAATCCCTAGCACCAAAAATGTTGCAATGGTAGGTAGAAAGAGAAATGATGTCAATAAGGTAAAGTTATAAGGATCATTGGTAAACATAATAGGTAATAGCTACTGTATGTATAGGAATTTATATTTGATTCCGAAAGATAATATTAAACAGAATGATTATAATCATAAAATGAATTGTATATTTAACTTCTTAGAATTCCTTTATTTATTGTGAACTTGTGTCATAATATTACAATACTATACGATAAGGAAATGTCATTTATTCATATCAGGGTTTATATTATGGTGGCTCACACTTAATCTAGTCATAATAACAGATTACAAATTTAAAATACCAATCTCAGAGCGCATCATTTCTTTGAAACTCTAGCCGACTTGTCCACACCGCTTCCAGCCAACCTACCATTTAAGCCAAATTCACTTTGATTTAATGTCAACATCTGTTTCATTTGGTCACCTAATTCTTCCGGTGCTTTCTCGGGAATAACAACCGTGTTATTAGGAAAATGCAATGGAGAGTCATTGTCATCCTCAATGCTGGAATCATCATCTTCAAATCCTCTTAATAAAGGGTCATCGGCCTGAACTGGTAAAAGATATCTAAAAGCATGATTGTAATGATAAAATTATTTTAAAATCATATGGCGGATGCAGGTCATAATGCCAAACAATTACTTTGGATCTTCCCATAAAGGGTCATCTAGGGGAGGAATTCGGATAAAGCAATTTTCTTTCGTCATATGTTCCATCAATTTTTGGAAATCGACAAATTTTGTACCACATGCTATGCATGTATTAATGGATGTATTATGTCTTATGTAGTTAATTAATATGATTGTTTGATAGAAATCAAGCCCTGATAAAATTTAAAGTCAAATGGATTATAAATATTAATGAGATAAAAAATGCAAAAATGCGACAAAAGCAAAAATAACCACCCATGGCTTTTTTAATTTCTAACAAATCGAACCCATGAGCGCTTCTCATATGATTCAGAGCTTCATTAGGATTAAGTGAAATATTTTCACAAAAGAGACACAGGGTTGATTGCGGTTCTTCCTCATTCCAATCATCCCAAGAGCTTAAATTATTTTCAATTCACATAATAAGATGTCTACTTAATGATCGACATTTTTGCGTCAAATAATATACGTACTCGTCTCGATTATGATCTTCATCTGATTCGTAACGTTCATTCTCGTATGTCTCCCAGTTTTTTCCAGGTTCCTATTAAATTCCAATGATTATAAACATAATCCACAATTTGCGCAAAACAATTCGACAGCATACCTACCAAATAGTTTATAACATAAAATTTATCATATACTCTATTCCTTGCATTAATCTTGAAGTGTTTCTTCTTGCGCATGTGTTTTCTTAATACTGCTGGTGTCGTAAACGTTTTCTCACAGTATAAACATTGAAGGCTTTAATACAAAGGATAACGGTTGGTAAATTTTATTATCTATGCCAGTGATAATACTAAAAAATTTCTTACCCATCTAATTTGTTTTCAAGTATTTGCAAAAATTGGTCCACATTCACGAGATTGTCGGGGAGACCAATGTTAAAATTATGCTCAGTAAACATGTGACGAAATAACACCACTCTGGTTAAATAAAGTTGAGATATGATGTTAATATTATTAAAATCGTATCTGACAAAAAGATAATTAAAATCTTTGTCACCTATTTTCACACATACTATTACAGAATAAACATTTCCGTTGTAATTTGAAATTATTTTTACGCTCATCCGCTTGAGTTTGTAAAATTTCGTCCTAATTGTAACGACAGATACTTAAATGACTGCCAATAATAGGAGAATTCGAACTAAAAAATATATACACTGTATATACCAATTTTTCACGATGAAATTGCTCCCTAATATATTTATCTTGCGGAAGTTTCTCCGGATCGATAACATATATAATCTCATCTATGAAATAAATAAATAAGAGAAATATGCATCGCATTAGTAAATCGTTCCTTTAAAAAAAAAAAAAAAAAAAAAAGGTTAAATAATGAGTGTACCTTCGCTAATTTCCGTATTAAGTTTTTCCATGATCGCCTCTTGAGTAATTTGATTCGCCCAGTACTTCAAATATTTCTCGAGAATCAAGTAGACATGATGCAAATCCTTAAAGTGGATTTTATGCTTATCTTTTAAATGTTCTACAAGATATGTACTATCGTTAATCGTCACCTCTGATTTATCTTGATCCAGGCAGTTTGCAAAAGGGCATTCTATCATTAATTCAATATGGTAGGACGGCAACGCGGTCAATAAAGTTGTATCTGGAGAAACCGCTCTCGATGAACCATCGGAATTACTAATATCCGAATAAGGAGGAAAAGAATTTGCCACATCAAAATTAGGAGGAAAATTGTAAGTATTGTGATTTGGTCCATGATTTGGGAGGCGACTCGAAGAATGTGTACTCTGTTGTTGACTCGGTCGCTTGTTTACTTCGCTGATGTTTCCTCGCTTATTATGATTGACTTTGCCTTGGCCGCGAGATTTTTCTCTGGTTTTAGATCCTAGGTAAGAGCGAGTTTTTCCATTTCGCGAATTCGTTACAGAAGTCCACTGACCTTCGGTCATAATGGCTTTGGAATCTAATCATGTAAATTTTGTCTTTTACGTCACATTTGTGCTACAGGTTGATCTTTCCTGAAAGAACATACTAAATTTTATTGGTCATATTTATTTAAACTGAAAATTATAAATAAACAACTCGAAATGAATTTTTTTTTAAAAAAAATTTTTTTATAATCTTTCTTTAAATTAATTTATTCAGTAAAAGTAAACAACTAATTTTTTAAAATTTAGATATATAATTTACTAATTGCTTTTTTTTTTTAATATAAAAAATCTAATATAATAAACTCAATCTTGACCTTTATTATATATATATATTTTGTATTAAAAATAATATTTAAACTCCATAACTAAAAGTCATATATATTTTTTTTAATTTGATTAATAATTAATTTTAATACAGTATATAAAATAATAAAATGTAAAAATAAAAAATTTTATTTTTTTTTTAATCCACAATTATATTACTTTGACATATTTTTATTGAGATATTGAGAGATACCAAAATATTTTACAGACTTTTTTACAAAGCAACTAATTTATTTTTTTTTTTTTTTTTTTTTTAACCCGCTGTCAGGCTAGTTATGTGCGCTTTATTAAACAAAAGTAAACTATA